TCTTTTTCGATTTTAAGGGAATTTTCACAATCAACAATTAATTTTATTCTTTACTCTCGTTCATTTTGTCTTTTCTTTATATAAATTTCCCGGTCATTTTCTAAATTTCTCTATAAGCTATCAAAATACTCTAATGTTTATTATATTTGATTGTTTAAAGCTTATATTTTATCTTCTTTGGCATATTCTTATTAATTATCTTAATTTTCTAAAATGTATTCTTAATGATTTTATATTTCATATTCTTATTTTATTCCATTACTATAGTTATTAAACCTTTTTAATTTATATTTTCGAATTCTTCTACTTTATGAGATTTATCGTGGTACTTTACAGCACATAAGTGGCACATTATTCGTAATTCACATAAGTTTTCTATACAAAGCCAACCTATTTCTTTATTTGGATGATATTTGCAATATACTGTTTAATTATCGATTCTATTTAATTAATTATTATTCATTCTATTTTTTTTTTTAATTTATTTTTTGCTATGTTTATAATACTAAGTTTTATCCTACCTTATTTTTAAAATATAAGAAAATAAAAATTATTAAAATAAAAAATTATTTTCTTTTTTTAATTTTTTAATAAATTTTATTAAATTGAATTATTTTAATTAAAAATAATTATTATAAAATTAATTTGAAATATTTCAATTATTCTAATATTGTTTTATTTTATATTGTATTTAGTTTTATATACTCAATCAACTATAAAATAAATCAATTAAAGATTTTCTAGCCATTTTTTTTTTGATGTAGTTTTTAAATAAAAATAACAAAAAATATTAAAACATCAAAAAATAATATTTTTATCATAATAGTAATTATTATAAATATTTTTGATTTTTATTGATTAATAAAATAAAATTAAATTAAATAAATAAAAATGATTAAATTAATACTTTACAATTTATTTTAATATATATATATTTTATTTTATTTATAATTATTATAATATTTTTCAAAAGAGTTTTACAAATAAACTTTTTTTATTAAATTTATATAATATTTATATTTAAAAATTTTAATTACTAAATAAAATATATTTCTTATTAAATTTAAGAAATAAAATATTATACAAATCTATAAAAAGTATTATAAATTATTTTTAATTTTATCATTATTAAAATATTGTCAATGTCAATAAACTTATAATTAATTACAGTTCTTTATTTATTCTTAAAAAATTTAAATTGAAAAAATAATTTATAGTTATTATATATATTTCTTAAGTTAAATTTTTAAGTATTTAAGAAATGCATATAGTAATATTTATAAAATAATAGTTTTATTTTTTATAAATTGCTTTTTTTTCTTATAAATTACTTTAACTTTTTAAAATTTAAAGTAAAATTTAATTATTAATATAAATTTTTTATTAAATAATTATTATTATATTAACAATATTAATTATATATTTATGATTATAACTTACCTATATATATATTTTTAAATTTTATTAATACTTTATATGTATTAGACTATTCTCTATAGAATCAATTTTGTATTTAGTTATACTGGTATAAAATAGTTAAGATTGTAAATTTTTAATCTTTTCTAATTTTTTAGGTTAATTAAAAAACTTTTTAATATTTTTATAAGAAAAATAATCTTTGAAAACAAAATAATGATAAATATGATTAATTTAAAAATTAAATTAGCAAATAAAGTATAAAATAATAGAGCTCATTATATTTTAACATTTTAAATTATTACTTTAATTTACTTATTAATTAGAAGAAAATTATAAAGTAATAAAAAATAATGAATTAATATTACATATAAAGTAAAAAATGAAAATATTATATATTATTTATAAATAAATATTTAAATAACATGTTTAGACAAAATTAATACTTTATATTATAAAATATTAATTTTTCATTTTTTATTATTTATTTAAAAAAATATTTCATTTTTTCTAAGATCTCTTTTTCTTTTTATCAGATTTTGGTTTATTCATTAATGATCTTTTAATAATTCTGACTTCTTCACTTAAAAATGATCTAACAATTCTATTAAAAAAATAACATTATTAATAAATTTTTTAATTGCTTTTTTCATTTTTATTTAAAATAAATACCTAGTTCTAACACAATGATGGCAAATATGTCCTCCATAAGTTCTAGATACAGTTTTTTATCTTCTACTCATTGTAGATAAAGCACTAGCTCTAACATTTGCGATTCCGTTTAATAATGCACCGCATCCAGGTTCAGTACATTTTTAATTTACGACAACCTTTTTTACGTATTATGCAGCAATTTTTCCACCTATAATATTTTTTATTAATTATTTTTTTATTTTAATATAAATTTATATATATATATATATATTTTTATTACCAGGAGTTTTTACTTTTCTAATTTTGTTTGATCTAGTATTATATGAACAACGTCTTCTATATGTTATTCTTTAAGCCATTTTTAATATTATTTTTTTTATTTTTTTCTTTTATTTTTTTTTTTCTTTAATTTATTATATTTAATTTTTGTTTTTTTTAGCTTTTTTGTTTTGTTTTTTAATTAAAAATAATAATATCATTTATTTTTATCTATATAATATTTATTTTATTTTTTATATTTATTAATACTAATTTAAAGCATTATAAAATTAAATATTTTATTATTCTTTCATATTTATAAATTTTTCTTGTATTTTTTTTTAAGTTTTTCTTTAATTTTAGGTTCGAAATTATTCGCTAATAAAACTAACTAAATTTCTTCATTTTAATTAACTAAAAATTTATCAAGAAAATCATTATCTTATTCACTTATATAATTCAAACTTAAATTAATCATTTTAACTTATCCATTTTTAAATAATGCAAACTCTTTAAATTATATAATTTATAAAAATATATTATTAATTAATATATATACATCCTTCAGCTACTTATAACAATGGTTCTAAATAAGGAAGCATATCCTCATTAATTTTTCTTTTTTATTTTGTAGCTTTTGCAATTAATGTTTCCCTTTCTTTTTCTTTATCTCTATAATGTGAAAGCTCTTCAGGTGTTAATATCTTTTTTCCTACTCTCGTTAGTATTTCTTTTACGTCGTCTAAACTTTTAATATTATTTTTAGCTAAGCCTAAATATTCTATTTTATGGTAACTTTCAAATAGTAATCCTAAATAATTTAATCCTATTATTAAATAAATTTTATTATTAATTTTTTTAAAAAATAAAATAAAAACTAACATACCTTCTTTAGTAAAAGTGTTATTATATAATTCAATGTATTTAATTTAACAATTTGGGTTATTTTTTATTTATTCACATAGCAATTTTAATACATTATCATTAACTTAATTACTTCTTAAAATTAAAAATTCTAAATTGGTATTAGCTCTTAAATGAAATTATTTATAATAAATTAAATATTACTTGTTCATATTTGCTTTTTTTTATTATTTTTTTCTGTAATATTATTTTTTATAAAAAAAGCCATTAAATTCATTTTTTCGTGTATTTATTTTTTGATGATTGAATTTTTTTAAAAAAATATTACAGAAAAAATAATATGAACAAATAATATATAGTTTTTTTTTTTAAAAAAAAAAAGAATATACAAATGAGGAATAAAAACTTCTTTTAAACGCTAATCTAAAACATTCCATTCAAAAAAAAGCTTATTTATATGATTATTTTATTAAATTAATTAAAGGATTTGAGTAATCACATGCTCATCTAAGTCATTATTAACAAATTTTAACGCATAAAAATTATTAAAAAAAGGAACAATTAATTAAAGAATCTTTATTGCCAAATAATCAACTTTTCTATTTTAAAATAATAAATATTAGCCTTTATCTTATTCTTATTTTGGTTAATTATTTTGCTATTAATCTTCATTCGCTATTTAGTTTTTTGTTACTTTTTCATTTTAAATAATTAGATCTTCGCTCATTTAAGGATGGGGTTTTGCACCTATGCACTTGTATATATTTTATATTGATTCCATAAGATTTTAATTAATTAAAGGTTATATTTATTATTAATATTTTAAAAAAAACTCATCTATTTATAATATTTCATTTTCATTATATTATACATATTCCCAAACTAATTTAGTTTCATAATCATTATATAATGGTTATACTTTTTTGTTTAAAAAAAATACAAATATCCATTATTTGTTTATAATATTTACTTTTTATAGCTTATTATTGCTTTTTATTCATATTTAAATTTTATTAAAAAAAAAACAAAAAAATATTTTAAAAATAATCAAAAAAAATATCAATGAATTTAAAATAATACCTTAAAAACCTTTGTTTTTATTGAAAAATATAAATAAATATTTTTTTTCTGAATATATAATCAAAGTTAATATTTATATATATATTTTATAATAACAAAAATTAAGGGAAAAGGCTATTATTATTTAAGGAAACTATATATTATATTAATAATAATAAAAAAATAAAAATATCTATACTATACATTAAAAAGAGAAATATACATAATCATTAATATAAAAAGTAAGTAAAAAATATTCAGATAACCAATTTAATAGCTTCTACATAAGCCTAAAATTCTTCATCACATTATTCTTTTTGAATCACAGATAAATCTACCCAGTTTTATCCATAAACACTAACTCCACAATCTCCTGAGTTTAAAGAATCACTACTATCAATTACATAAGCATAAATATAATAAACACCTACTTCAAGCATAAAAGGTTCATCTAAATAGCAAAAAGAGGTTAAATCTCTTTAATTTCCATAAACTTGAATTATAGGATTACAAAAAGAATCACAAACACATAAAATAGATTGCGAATAAAATTTATCTTCAGGCGTTTACATTTAAAATTTAATACTTTGAGTTCTAATAGAATTTTGTGAAAGTTAGAAAAAATAAATTCCTTTATAGTTGATTTTAATTTAAAAATAAGAGTGAATATTCCTTTATAAAATCAAACTTTATAATTTAAAATTAAGGAAGAAATAAGCAATATTAATATGAGTAAAAAAACTTTAAAAATCACTCCATTTCATTATAAAACCAACATTTTCTTAAGCTTTATCATCATATTTTTTAATTCGAATATATTTTTCAGAAAAGCTAATAATTGAATAAAACACATAATTTTAAATCTGGTATAATTTCATTAAGTTTTCTCTTATATTCCCTTATTTTTTGCTTTCACATAATATTATATTCCCATTATTAATTGCATTTTGAATTCTTTATTGTAATATTTCTTCATATTCATCTTTTATTTTGAAATTTCTACATGGACAACCTGCTAAATCATGGAGAATTTCACGAATACACCCTGCATCTATTTAAGCATAACTCCCGTGTAGTTTAGCCCAAGCTTTTTCAATTAAAATTGATAAAAAATCACCATAAGTAAAACAAGGTTATCCGTTTTTGAATGGAATTTTATCATCTATTAATACATTAACTTTTATTCCTTTCCAAATAATCTTTACTGTACATTAACCAGAAACTGGATCATATGAACATATTTATTTTAAAATATCATTGTTTTTTTCTTAAAGGGAATATAAAGAAGAAATGAAATATTTGTTTTTTAAATCACCTTATTTAATTTAAAAAGGCTTATTTTATATTTAAGATAATCTTATCCATTAAACTTCATTCTTAATTTTTTTTTTTTTTTATTGTTTTGTTTTGTTTTTTTTTTACATTATCATAATTTCCTCCTATTGATAAAGGTGAAGCGAGAAATTGGAAATCTTGGAATAATTTATTTTCAAAAAATTGAGGTTTATTAGTTGCTGAAATACTATTTTTTAAATTTTATTTATTTTTCAAAGTCAAGGGTTCATAAAAAGGAATATCATGCATTTTTTTTATAATAAAAAAACAAATTAATAAAAATATAATACATAATAAAACATAATAATATATATATATATATAAATTTGAGAAAAAAATAATATATATATATATATATAAAATGAAACATATGTCTTTATAAAAAAAATTTACAAGAATATAAGGTGAAGATTTAGAATCTAAAGAAAAGCGTTAAAAAGATGTAAATATGAATTAAAAAAAATAATTAATGAAAACAGAATTCGAAGAGTTTAATAATATATAAAGTTAAAAAGAACAAATTCAATAATACAATTTAATTTAAACGACCCCAAAAAAAGCAACTGCAAATATTACCTTCAAAAACTAACTCGATAAAATAGTATAAGCACGTATTTTGAAAGAAAGTTAATTATAATAATTATAAAATTAATTAAATAATTTAAATAATAACTAATATAACGAAAATTAATCATAATAATAAAATTAAAACTTATTATTTACTTCAAAATAGCATACATCTACTCTTTTTTCAAAAAGTTATTATAGGTCCAATAATTTAGATTTTCTTTCTCAAAATGATTTCAAAAATATAGAAAATATGTAAAATTATTTATCAAAAGTAAAGGAGGAGATTTAAAAAAGTAATGAAAATATTTAAAATGAAGAAGATAGGAATAATACAATAAAAAATTAAATATCAATCCTTTATAAATCTAAATAAAAAGTAAAAGAATAAATACATCAACTTTAAAATATTACTAGAATATAAAATTAAAGGTTTTTAGATCTTTAAAGCATTACTTATTCTACTAATGAAAAAAAAGGTCTTGCTTTCAAAAATTTAAATAAAATAAAATAAGAATATTAATAAAACGAAAATATGAGATAAGATTTCATATCTAAATAAACTGAAATATGTGAAAATACTTTAAAACAAAGAGTTCAAAGCGAAGAAATTATTGGAAATATCTTACTTTAAATAGATGAGAACTAAAGAAAACTATTTAATGTTAAAAAATAACTCTAATAAGAAATAGATAAAGAATATTAAATTTAATAAAAAAGATTTTAATAAAAACATACTATAAACTGTATTTAATTTTTTAATATTTATCTTTAATTATTTTTTCCAGTTAATTCTTACTTAATTGAATAATTCTAAAGTTAAAATTCTTTTTTTATAAACGAAAAAGTAAACAAAAATTAAAACATAAATATTTAAATTTAATAAAAGTAGATTGATTAAATTTCAGATGAAATAAATGATTTATATCATAATTTACCAAAAGGAATAAATTATTTAGTAAATCAAATATGTAAAAACTTTAATGAATAAACCTATTTATAAGAAACAAACAATGAGAAATACGAATAATTATTAAAAGCCAAAACCCAATATACTTATGATTTAAAAAAAATAATAGAATAAGTAGAAAATTTGAAAGAAAAGAACAATTTTATCAATTAAATGTAGATTGATGAAAAAAAAAATGAAGAATACGAAAACTAACATGAAGCAATAGATGCCGGAATAATAAAATTAAATGAACAAAACATTTATACAGTTAATATAATAAAGCTAAACGAAAAAAACGAATTTAGAAATTTAACAGAAAACATAAAATAAAACAATAAATTTTTCTTTTATTTTTTTATGAACTACGGAGATGCAATAATTCGTATATGTAAAATAATACAATCTATATTCTAAAACATTCTCCAAAATACATCCTCGTTATCAATAATATACCGAAAAAGTACTGAAGCTATTAATTTTATAAAAACAATTTGGTTTCCAAATTAAGAAAATTAGATTGAAAATGTTCTTGAAACAGACTAAACTCAATAAAAATAATCTGAAGATGAGGAAAGTCCTTATAAAAAAAACATAAATCAATTACTTCCTTCCTATAAAAAAAACTTGATTTTAAATAATTAAATGTTTATTGAAAAATATAAGCTGAAAGATATTTAGGATTTATATACAAGTATTTTTAATGATTAGATTTCAGAGTAATATTCTTCATAGTTTTTTAATCTTTTAAAAAATGATAGAATTATTTGGTTTTTTAGTTCCTTAAAGGCTTTTTAACAATTCTTTAATTAAAAAAAAGAAACACTTGGATTTTAAAATGGGGCAGAAAGTACTCTTTTAGACTTTTATGAGCTCGAAAATAATGCTTTTAAAGAATATAATATTAAATTATAGGTTATAAAATCTTTATATACTTCTATTTTATAATAAATAAAAAATGAGTCTCGTGATATTATTGATTACTTAAATCAAAATGGAATTAAATATAAACCAGATTTATACACGAAGCCAAAAATTTCAGAAAATATAAAAAAAGAAATTGAAAAAGTCATCAAACGATAAGAAGAATATAAATACTCTTTAGCTGAAAAAGAGGAAATTATATAAACTTATAAAGAATATGAAAAATTATGTGAAAAATAAGATGAAAGCAATCAAAAGAATCTACAGACTACAAATGAATCTGAAATATATTCATAAATTATTAATTATATAAATGATTAGGCTTAAAGAAAGTCAAATAATGTTTTACCTTAGGCATAAAATATCCAATAAAATGAAAATTAGAATTAAAATTAAAATTAAACAGAAACTGTCCAAGTATTAATTTAAAAACCCATTTTAAAGTATAATCTTAATTATAAATCATAAAACGATATTTTTGAAGATATTTATATTAATTAAATTAATAAAATTTAAAAAGATAAACATAAAAAAAATACAGAAAAACCCACAAATACAACTTCTCCTTTAAATAACTCACATAAAGGATTATAAAATATAAGTTAAAGACTTTCATAATACCCAAGATAAAATTTATACGCAAAAAATATGCTTTAATTTTCATAAAGTTCGGCTATTTTGTCAAAGATTAAGCGTCTAGATAAATAAAAAGATACGAATGTATATATTAAAGCTATCTATAATGAAATTTAATAAGAAAAATGGAATATATAGAAAACTATTGCGACATTAAACAATAATGAAGAAAATTAAAGTAAATTAAAAAAAAGTAATAGTGTTAAATAAAATTAATAATAAGAATAATAGAAGAATTTTAAGTATACTAAAAATTCGTGGAATACAGCGAAAATAATATAAACACCTAATTTTTAAATAAAAAGACCTTTTACATAATAAAATAATAAGACATAAAAATAATTAAACTATCCAAATATAACAAATAATAATAATAATAATATTAATTCAAATAATGTAATTTTGTCATAATTTAAAAAAAAA